ACTATAGGATCAAATTGAGATGCTTTAATTTACTAAGATCTTTTCCACTTCTCATAACTAAAGTATTGATTCTTCTTTAAAATTTATATTGTAAGTTTAATATTGTTTTAATATAATATAGGATCAAATTGAGATGCTTTAATTTACTAAGATCTTTTCCACTTCTCATAACTAAAGTATTGATTCTTCTTTAAAATTTATATTGTAAGTTTAATATTGTTTTAATATGGATATCTCCCGTTTCATTTAAAAAGTAGGATCATCCATTTTCCATTTAGCTATACACTTACCTTAAGAAAAAACACAATGGGCCCCACTGGACCTCTATAATTAAAGCTCCAATAACTGGACATTGTCTAGTTTAATTATTAGCTGCATGCGAGATTCAAATCTTATTAAACCTCGTTTGATTCCAATTCTTATAAGAATGAGAATGAAAAATATAATCGTTACGGGACCTACACAAAAGAGAGGAAGTCAAATATGGTGTCTTAATGTGATGGATAATGGTTATACTTTTCATTTTTTGACCAAAGAATAGGAAACAAACTGGGTCTAAATAGAGAAAATAGTAATGCTATTCGTAGTCGCTCACTATCACAGTAGTCATACGTGGTGGCATACATATGACAGATAGTTATTTGATGCAAGAGTCAATAAAAAAACTACCAAATTTATGCATCAAATAACCACATGTCATGTGTATGTCATTTAGGGAGACTATCGCAGTGAGCAACTGCAAGTAACATTATTCAAAAGAAAAATTATCCAGAACTCCATACATACACTATATAATAAAAAATAAGGTTCTCTAGTTTTAATTTCACAAATCAGTTAATAATGATGATTTATTAAAATAATTAATATATGATAAGTATGGGAACAATTTTATTTATCTAATGAAATCTTCTTAAAAATCTTTCTGTAACAATCACGCCACTCATTCTCTCTCTCTTCAAGCTACATCGGACCATTTCTGTTCTCTCTCTGTGGTTCTTTCATTTATATTGTCTAAGAGAAAAACTTCAGTGTTTGCTAGGTAGGGATTTTGATAATTGATTTTTTGATCATTAGAAATAAAGTGAGTCCTACATGTAAGAGAATAATTCAAAAATAATGGTTGGAATAGTGAAATAATAGTTAAAAAATTAATTTTAATTGTCTTTTAAGCTGTACCAAATAAGCTCTCAATTTTATGATTTATTTTTTGCTCTGCTGCTTAGCCAATGGGAAAGAACCCCTACCAATTCCAACCCCACCATTTTGCCGAGATCTCTACCCCAAATTTGTCTAAAAGAGCAATCGGTAGTTTAATTCACCAAT